CTGTTCTAGAAAATCCCTCCCTTGATCCCATTCACTTTTGTTCAATCTCTTTCACTTCTCATTTCACTTCTCACTTCATTTCTTTCTCATATCCTCCAAACCCATTCCATCATCTCTTCCATAATGTGACCTTAGCATATCTTTCCAACCTCTTGCACGCTTTGAAGTAGAGATTTTTCTCAAACCAGCCTCTCACTATTCCCCAAACAGGCCATGCTTTCCAGCCCTACAGCTTGGCACTCACCCACCTCCCTTTACCTAGTACTTTTCCCAGCCTCTTCAGAAAAGCCAGTCTATACCGTTTCTGTTCAATCTCTTTCACTTCTCATTTCACTTCTCACTTCATTTCTTTCTCATATCCTCCAAACCCATTCCATCATCTCTTCCATAATGTGACCTTAACATATCTTTCCAACCTCTTGCACGCTTTGAAGTAGAGATTTTTCTCAAACCAGCCTCTCACTATTCCCCAAACAGGCCATGCTTCCCAGCCCTACAGCTTGGCACTCACCCACCTCCCTTTACCTAGTACTTTTCCCAGCCTCTTCAGAAAAGCCAGTCTATACCGTTTCCTTGAAAGTTGTTGAGTCAGAGCTACGGATATTTTATTTTTATTCTCCAGCTTCCTCCATCCCTCATCTTTCCTGTTTTCCTGTCATTTTCTTCTACACAGTCCAAAGACTCCCTCTCGTTCTGCACCAGGGACAAACCTCTTCTTCCTCCTCCCTGATGATGTAAACACTGCTCTAATTCCAATCTTTTCATTATTCTTTTAAGCTGGCCTTTATCTTGGTTTGGTTATGCTGCTTTTAAGAGTGAATTATTCTTGGACTATTTGAACATAGTTTAGGCATATAACAAGTGGATAAATTTTATATATGAAATATCTGGGTTACATTTTCAATTCTCTACTCTTATTCCCTAGACCAATAATAAAACAGATCTTGAGAAAGAACAGACATTCAGTTGCTGAATGGAAGAAATGTTTCCTTCCCTATTCAAAAGCTGCCCTTCTAACTAATTAAAGAAATATGTCAAAATGGTTCCCAAGAAGAACTCATACGTCAGCACCAAAGAAATAAATATTCTGAAAATGAGAAGAACCACTTGGTCTACTTCTCAATAGAGATTGAGAACAAAGGAAAAGAAAAGAGACAGGGAAGAAATTAATCAGAATTCAAGCTGAAATAAACATAGAAACCTGTAGTTGTAATGAAAGGGAAAACTAGGTAAGCTTAGGAGTCTGGTGAAGCCCAAAGCTATTATGTATATGCCCAAGATATACAACACATTTCTAACACTTGCCATCAACTTCTGACCAAAGCCAAGCCCCCACAAAGGGAAAACTGGGACATAAAAGGGTGTTGGAATGATGAACAGTACTTAGAAATCTTTTGCACAATACAAATAATTCTTTAACAGTGTGCTTTAAAAATAGTTGGAGGAGAAAAACAGGCACTTGAAGACATCAGTGCTTTGTGAGAATGGACTTCACAGTCAATAAAGCACCATTTTAGTGTAGGCTATTTATTAGTATCGATGCCTGAGAGAAGTGCGATGACCTCTCACACACTGCTGGGGAGCAAATGGTATTAAGCGTGCTCCACCACCTCTCCCAAACCTCAAATGGCAAGAGTGGCTAGGGAAAAAAGAGCACTGGGAAGGACATTTTCTCTCTTAAATTCACATTAAACCCTCGGCAACTAAGCTTCTATAAGCCCAAGTAGTAGAAATGAGAGGTGCCCAGAAACAGAATTCGGCACCTCCTTGCCCATATGCCTTCAGGGATGCAATGCAAATGTGTGTTTACAGAAGCAGAACAGCTCCCCAGCTAGCTTGAATGCTCACCTTTGAGTCCTCAGGACTTTTCCACTTTGCTTAGCCAACCATTCCTGCAGTCTCTGGGAAGAATCAGACTAAAGAGTAAAGATATAGAGATGGCTTGGGTTCTGAGTTTCCTGGAGACAAAAGCATTACTCCTTTCCATATAACTCATCAGAAATGTTCAAATAAGACACCATCATAAGGTTTCAAGGTTTCCATCTTTGGACGGTTTGCAGAAATGGTTAGAAATTCCTCCTCACTGGTTCATTCAATAAATAGTTGCTGACGTCATGCCACAGTTAATACTATGGGTATTAAAATGAGTAAGACAAAGAATATATATGTCATATAAGTATTACACACCCACACACATCTATGAATAAAGATTATCACTCTGTAGGCTGAAGTACTCAACTATTAATTTCCTTTCTCTCTTTTTACCTTAACCTCTTACCTTCTATATTATCATTTTATAGGGAACAAGTAAACAAATAATTTTCTGATATCATGCAACATGTGATATATGATATAATGTGATATGATATGACATGGGGGTGATAACAACAAATGGCATGTTAGCTGAGTCTTAGGCACTAGCTGGCCTGGCAGACACTGAACATATCAAGGAATAAGAGGTGATTACAGTCCAATGTATTCGTACTTTAAGAAACAGAATAAAGATGTCCTCTTATATCTAAGCTAGTTGATAAAAGAAAAGGTAATATCAATTTAAATAGGAATTACTTACCACTTGCTTTACCTTAAAAAAAAAGGTACTGGAATAAAATTTAGAGCAAAGCAGAGAAACTAATTTTTACTAAGAATCAAATGCAAAAAAAAAATCCTAAATATCTGTCAAAAACAAGGCTGAGTGAACTATTTTTGAAGCAACAATAACAAAAAAAGACCCCTGAGCAAGAAATTTTATAGCCATCCTGTTTCTAGGTCGGAATTCTCTTAGAATGAGACAAAGAAAAATCTGGACCTGGAATAAGAAGAAGATGTTAGGAATTTATTTACCACACTGACAGAGATTTGTTTAACAAATGAAAGGCCAGAGTAACCACATAACATATGAACAGGGAATGGACTGACAGGAAAAAAGGAAAAATTATGACTCCAGAGTAAAGGACGATACATTTTTAGAACACTTGTTAGGTTAAGTTAGGTAGAGAAAGGAAAAGAAATTATCAGACTGATAAAGGAAAGAACCATTTTTCATGTTTCTCCACAAGAAAACACTCAGTATGCTTTGTAAATATTAAATCTGATATTTTAATAGACCTGAAAAACCAGTAAGTGGATTCTGGAATTTAAAAATTCCTAACGCTAATTCTATACAACACAGAATGGGGAGGGTGGAGAATAAGAAATGCTTCTACACAAAATAAATGACTTGTTTTGGTTTCCTTTATAAAAGCATAAACAAAGAGCATCTTAAAATATATAAATAGAATCCAAAAAGGCTAGTTTGTTGTTGTTGTTGTTTTTTAAGAAACAAAACCACCATGAAGAAAAGATCTTAGAAAGTATACAAATTTCATCAGAATATAATTGAACTTGCAGGAACAGTTACTGTGCTGTACTGTAAGGGGAGCTGTTGGCACACAAGAGCAAAGCCCACGTATGAGCTCATCCGCCGGCCTCGGCAAGACCCACTTGCAGCTAGAAGCAGTCATGTTTCAACACCTCCGATTCCCTAACGCTGACAAGCTAAACAACTTGTTTTGTCTCTGGGAGCTCTTCTCTGGTGATTAACTGCTTATGGTGAATACTAATTACATGAAAGTACAGTACTGAAGAAGGAGTGTCCTGTTTCCTCTACCTGCAGCCTCGACATGGCTTTGAATCCAGAAGCTACTGGGTAGAGTCCTTGCAAACCAAAACCGAGAAGGACATTTTTCTCCCCTCTGGTAAATAAATGTAACCCCTTCCATTTTTCAGCATAACACAGCTCACTGACAAGAAGCTTCCTTTAACCTCTGAGCTCCAAACCAAGTAGAATCACAATAAAGTGAGTGTTTTAAAGGCCTATAATCATCATATGGATTAATCTGCAGTAAGAGTTTGTGAATTAGTAAACTATCAGTGTCCTCAATTCCCCATGTCCCATGTTGAAAATTTACCCCAAATTGTCAGTTCTTAGGAAGTGCACCTCAGATTAAAATCTTCTCACCAGGGAGTCTATGAGAATTTGTTCTTGTGTTTTAAATCCTAAGTGCTTGTTAAACCGCCAACACTGCAAAATTAGAGACCATTAAACAATATAAGGCAGCAAGTGATTAAATCTACCAAATACACATTCAAAGCAGCTTAAGCTACTTTTTAATTAAAAATAAAATATCACTGGCTAAATTCAGATGTCTTAGCTATCCAGAAAAGGTTAGAAGGCTGTTCAAAATGCAAAATGCTGCTGATAAGTCCAGAGAGAAAACGAGAAATGGGATAGGGGTGGGCTGGGGAGGTGGTTCTTCTTGGCTTCTGAGCCCAGGGTGGAGAGGCCTCAAAATGCTGACCCGGTTTAGTCAGAGGACGCAAAGCGGGGAGCCCTGGCTGTGCTGCAGGGTGAGGACTTCATGTGGCTGCTGATTAAATAAGCTTTATTAGCCAAGGCCTCAGAGGAGACAGGGTGTTCCACCTTCTTGGCAAGGGGGATGAGTTGAGTAACACTGCAGGAAGCTGAGGCACTGGAGATGTATAGATGGCTGAAGGAAATGTTAGTGCTATTTTTAAACATAGCCTAAATGGATTGATAAACAGTTCCTGAAATAATAATTAGTGTTGGGGAAGGAGGCAAGGGGACTTTTGAGTTAATGGGATCACTTGAGATTGAAAGAAATTTTCACTGTAAAGTTAGAAGTAAATAAACATTGTAGCTTTAAGTTGTTCCTACTTGTTTAAAGTAAAGAAAAGAAAAAGGGCCAGGGGGCTTAGTCAAAGCTGGGCAGGAGGCCAAGAATCTGCAGATCAGACTTAAGGCTGGGATGATATCATTCACTCTGAAGTCTTGATACTCTTTCTAAAGCATGAGAAAATTTACTGGTAAAACCTTACCTCACCCACAGTTTTCTTATTTTTAACTTTTTTTTTTTCTCTCAAGAATAATTTTCCAAATCTGCTTTCTGCCTTATATGTAAATGTTATGAATTTACATTTAGCTTCCAACATGGTCTTACCTAAAAAGCTTGCCCTAAAGTAAAGCACAGGCACTTGGTAGCTGCAGGAATATAAGACATGATACTCATATTTAATCACTTCGGCAGCCGCGGTGGTCTCGGTTACCTCAAAATCATCCAGGGGGGCATCTAAAGCCTCCTGAAAAAAAGGAAACACAAAAACAGAATGTGGCTGTCAATAAAAAGAAGCACATTAACACACAGAGAGAGAAAGATGAGGTTTTCTTCGTGCAAAATAACAGTTAAATAAATATAGGACTATGAGGTAAGGAAAAGGGAGTTTCCCACATTAATGTTTAACATTTGAGTCCTGGGTAAATAGTAAAACCAGAAAACATTAGCATTAAGTAATTCCAGATTGTTTTTGAGAGACAAAGCAGCTCTGGGTAAAGAAACAGGAAGCGGGGGGAAAAACGTGAAAAGATCTATTGCAACAGCAACTCTGAAAAATCTTTACTGTACAATTTTAGCAACAAGATGATGGCTATACAAGCTACCTTCTTCCCTACCTGTGAAAGCTAAAAACATCCTAACAATTGAGCAAGAGACTGTGAAATGTCCCTAAAGATTCTATTGTACTTGCCAAAAGATGATTCATTGTGTGCTGAACAATTCCCAGTTCCATTTTGAATAAAAAAGTTATTTTGCAAGAGGTTGAGTTTGTTAGGTATATTTCAAAACCTGAGATGAATCTGTTTTCTTTATTATTGTGCCATCTTTGGTACATTTCTATAATAAATCTTGATTTATAATAGAGTAGATGGCAAATATCAATGTCAACATAAACAGGGTTTTGTAAGCAAAGATGGTTCTAGCTAGTTTACTTCTCACCTAATCATTCTCTACAAGTTGATTTTTTTTTTTATGTGTAGAGTTTGTTGAGAATGTATCTTAACGTTTGGAAGCAATTAATTGGACATGTTGAGTCAGAATCTGATTCCATCCACACTCATTTAATGGGCTGAAGAATTTTCTTTGACATTAATTTTTAGTAGAAGGGAAGAAGCAGGTTGGTTTGACTCATTTCTACCTTTCATTAAAATGGTAACAACAATGAACAACTGAAAAGAGCAACAGGAAAGATTTCAAACTTTATCAATATGAAATAAGGTTTCCTGTGGAGATAAGTAAAGCCACAGACTACTCTCCAGATCTCTTTGATTTACTAATTCCCTACTCACAGTCAATTCACTGGGGGAGATATTACACTAGATAAATCACAACTGAAGATATTTACAAAATAGTTTTTCACTAAACTCTAGTAAACACTATCAATTAAACACAATTAATTAAATAACTGAAAAGAAACCACTGAAATAAATATTCCAGATACAGAAAATTAATACAGTAGCAAGAAAGAGGTTTTTCTGTTTGTTTATTTAAATTTCATTAGGCAAAAATAAATACATCTTTTAAAGCAATTCTTTCAGCCAAAACTCATTCTTTTTGCTCAAAGATTGAGTTGTTTAGCATTTATAATTTCTTTTCTTTCTTTTTTATTCTTTCTTAACATTATAAAACCATTATAGTTAAAAATAACTGCAAACATTGCACAAGTACATTAACAAAAAATTGAAATTCCCCTCATCCCAGCACTTTAGTATCTCAGATTTGCAACTATTTTCAGAAGGTCATTGTGTATTTTTCCAGACTATTTTTATTTTTTGATGTGCAAACACATATATACACATACTACATCCACCTATACCCCACCTTTGCAACCCCAATTAAATCATGGTATATATACATGTTTCTTGATTTGATTTATTCACTCATGAACATACCTCCACATGCTGCCATGTCAGTGCTGTAGATTTTGCTGCTTCTTTTATATTGCATTATATGACCATAGTTTTGTTTTTTTTAACATTTCCATACTGCTAGATATTTTAGATCAATTATAATTTTCTGATACTACAACTAATGCTGCAGTGAATATCTTAGCACATATATTTTTATACGCCTCTATTTTTCTATGGTGCAGATTCCTAAAGGTAACATTAATGTATGAGAGGGTGTATGCATCTTAAATTTCAAAAGATACTGTCACTTGTCCTCAGAAAAAGGATGTATCAATCTATATTCCCAGCAAAAATGTGAAAGAATGTCCTTTCCCAATTCCTATAAATACTGTAGATTATTTGTTTTTGGTTTTTGCTTATTTGATGAATTTTTAAATATCAGTTTTTTGTTTTAGTTTCTAGTTTCTTGATTACTAATGAAAGTGAACATCTACTCATGTATTTATGAGTAATTTGTACTCTACTGTGATATACCTGTTCTTATTCCTTTCATATTTTTCAGGTATTTGATTTCCATTGTTCTTACTGAATTAGATAAACTCTTTGTATATTAGAAATAACTTATTACCAGAAATATATACATCCCTGCGCTACAGAAATACACAAGTGTGCAAATATATGTCTGATACATATGTGTATAAAACATTTTCACTCAGTTTTCTTTTAACTTTGTTCCTTATATGTATTATAATTTACTTTCATGTAGTCAAAGCTGTACATTTTCTATTTGCAGCTTCCAAGTAATCTGTCTTCATTAGACAGACTCATGCTATGTCCCATCTCATCCTTAAAAATTATACAAATGTTAAACTTGTTTATTCTACACACTCATTATGTCTCTCTCTCTCTCCCATACACATGTGTTTTTTAAATTGACATGCTTAGATCACTAATCCATCCAAATTTCGTTTTTGTGTATGGTGTGAAGAATTTTTCACAGATGATTTCTAATAACCCATCTTCCTCCCATTGATTTTAATACACTTTTACCATAAATTAGATTTGTGTGTATGTGTGTCTTTATTCTCTATTCTTCTCCATTGAGCTATTTCTCTTCTTAGACCATCACTGTCCAGTTTGTAAGTAAATACTGAGCTGGGTCATTAATGACTTCTGCACAAAACCTGCCGCTATAGATTGACCGAGACTCAGTCTTGCTAGGGAGGATAAAATTCCTGGAACGACTGCCCTTTCAGTTCAGCTCAGTTCAGTCACATCTAACTCTGCGACCCCATGGACTGCAGCACGCTAGGCCTCCCTGTCCATCACAAATTCTTGGAGTTTACTCAAATTCATGTCCATAGAGTTGGTGATGTCATCCAGCCGTCTCATCCTCTGTTATAACCTTCTCCTTCGGCCTTCAATCTTTCCCAGCATCAGGGTCTTTTCAAATAGGTCAGTTCTTCAAATCAGGTAGCCAAAATATTGGAGTTTCAGCTTCAGCATCAGTCCTTCCAATGAATATTCAGGACTCATTTCCTTTAGGATGGACTTACTGGATCTCCTTGC